CCCCCCCCCCCCCCGATTATACTGAGGCTTTCTTACATATCTCTGATTGAACCGTGGTCGAGCGGTTCAATTGCTCTGATAGGACAATACGTTTCTGCTCATAAAACAGCCAGTAGGCAATTTCTTTTTTCAAACTCAATCAATACAAGTCGGAGAGCACGCGCGGCATAATTAACTTGTATGTACAATAACTATAGCAAACCGGAAAGGTATTCCTTTTGGAAAAAAAGTTTATTGTTCGTCAATGCTTGCGGAACTGACTAGCTCATTTTAGACTCAAGATCTACGTTCCTGCCCGGATTGTTGTTGAAGACAATTGTACGACACTGAGACAAATGGAGAAACGGAAGAGTGCACATGTGGATTTGTTCAAACGCGCCTTGAAATCAATTGTCTCAGAATGCTCGTCCCTGGGGGGGGATGAAGCGTTTTCAGCCAGTGTTCCTGTCTCATCAGTTTAATACTCTACATTTCAAGTCCGCAATGCTCTGTTAACTGAAATAGTATAGCTGAGGGGAAACATGGACAAATNAAGACGGCCACGTGTGCGAAAGAGTGACATGAGCTGAACAATGAGAGTGATCCGACAGTTTGAAAACTGGTTTCGAATGGACTGTAAATCATATGCATTGCCTCACTATTCGGAGGATTGGGTTGAACATTCCGATCCTATATTTTCGCTAAATTCGAACACAATTTCGAGCACTCTTATTAACGAAAGAGGGAGCAAATAATATAATAATAATAATAATAATAATGACAACAATAGTAATCGTTGTACAAAACTCCTCTATTGACCTGTCTTTCCTGTGATAGAAAAATGCCGAGATTAGAAGTTACACATGATATGTTTACATTACTGACCCCTGTAAAAATTGATTGTTCTGAGTGATACTCAGTCGGTTTGAGTGTGAGTAAAACGCATCAGACAGGGTGCAACTTGGTATACGTACCCGGTTCACTTGAGTCCCCTGAGTTTGATCGGTTACGGGAAGCTCCAATAACGACGACCGGGTTTTCCAAGCATCGGCAAAATGGCGCTTACGTGATGCTTCCAACTAATATCCGAATGAAGAGCGAAAACAAATATGTGGAAGAGAATCGAATGATATCATGATGCAATCATCGTTTTGTTTTGTAACCAACTGTGAGTATTTTCGTAATATAGTTTCATCCCATCTACCTGTTGATTTGCCAAATTTATCTCCTTTCAAAATTTTTTTAAAGAAACATTCATCGGTAAAAAAAATGTTAGGGAGGAAAAAGCAATAGCTCTAAACGAGGAACGTTGGGTGATAAGTTTTGAAGACTCGACCTTGAAGAGATTAGGTTGGCGACCTTACCGCTTGATCGCCACCGAAACTCACAAGCCATGATATTCATCATCTCTCGGGCCCCATCCAGGTCCATTGGGGAAGTCACTCAGTGGTCGCCATTATGTTCCTTCTAGTCGTACTCAAAAGTCGACGGCAGTTACGGAAGGTGCCGGGTACACCGGAATGCATGGGACGTATCCAGATCAATGCGACAAAAAAAGAACGGAATATGTGTGGCTACGCATGCTAAGGGGTTGAAACGTAAGCTATCATTGATCGTATGGAGTACTGACAAGATTTGTCAATTTCAGGACTAAAATAGTTGAACCGCGGGGAAGAGATCATCCGAAAAGTAAATCAGAGCTAACAGATTTAAAATTAATGTACGACGAGGGTTGCGTATTTACGAATCCGAAATGGTTATCGTTTGGAACATGTTTCGATTTGCATCATCATATCTACCGAAAAGTTTATTATGAGCCCCCAAAAGCACATCGGGAAAATAAATCAGAACAAATAACCGATATCTAGGTTATCCGAGTATGCTTTTCGTGAGGACGCCAATAATTCATCGGTTGAGATTACCAACAGTATCAAGGACGCTGTTTACATCTACAACCGTTAAAACCAAATTAGGTTCGAATGGAGACAGAATTCGAACAGTCTGTCAAAAATTGAAGTGAGCGGTAAAAAAGACCCATGAGAATGATTGAAATCAATTCATTCAACTAACTCTCATCATGATGGGAAAAGAAACAAGAGATACAAGTAGCCCGAAGACAAAACTAATGTGACTGAGTACCTTAAAAAACAAATGATGCTCATATTTATTTACTTTCCGTTTACCAGGTTCCCCTATTTGCTAACACTTTACAAGTCTCGTGACGATTTTCATCAGTCGATTATCGAAATGTAGCACATCAGAATTGGAACACACAAGTGCAGTTGGGTGGAACGTATGAAATGAGGAAATGTGATCGCATTGTCCGCGGATCCTCCCATGGTTACGCAAAATTGCCGTTCGGTTATTGGTTAGAGTGAACCAAACCTAAGGTTTCGGACTAAATGAGGCCAAAACAGAATCGCATGACAGCTGAGACGCTGATTATCTAAAAAGGTTGTGACAGGGATTGGTCAGCGGACTTTTAGGCCTGGATTGCGCTAATGACAGTGCCTTGAACAACTCGGTTGGTATTTGCCAACTTGAGACATCTGTGGCGCTGTCGCGACATCCGGCAGATTGTGAAGGGTCGAATAGAAGTTGCAGCAGTTCGGCTAGTGCTGCTCTACGATGCGGAGACTTCATCATTACGGGAACATGATAAAAACAGATTGTCGGTGTTCGAACACCGCTGTCTACGTCGTATTGCACGAATCTGGTGGGGTAACCGGACGAGCAATGCTGAGGTTAGGTTTTAGGTAATCGCGATCGTCCACTAGAGCAAGTAGTTGACCTCCACAGGCTTTGTTGGTTGGAGCATGAGTTACGCATGTCACCAAATAGGTTTCCACGGCGAGCAATGCTTGACGAGGCAGGTAGAGGTTTGAAACGGGTCAAGGGCGGTCAAACGAAGACCTGGCATGAGGATATCATAACCCTAACTAGGAAACTGGATCACATAGGTCCCGTTAGGCTCCTTGGATGGGACCCCAAGATCATGGTCACCGATGGTTAGAGACACCGAGTGATATGGCTAGGTGTCGCAAACAGTGGCTCTCAAGCATTTACTCATTATTGTTGCAACTTCAGTCTCTGAAA